TGAGGAACTTTTACACGTATAAGATAGGCGATTACGAAGAGTAGGGTGCAATGACGTCACGCAGCTATTTTACATTTTATAATATCTCTTAAAGTAGGTAATAATTTTGTTTGCATCAGATTTTCACTAAATCATTTCATATAGCCATATCTACAATAATTTAACATATAAAAATAATTAAATTTTTTTTTTTTGTGTGTGTTGTGTGCTCCTTTAAGACGTTTAAGACTAACCATGATTAACTAATTATACAGTGTCCCGTGAGGATTTACCTATTGTGATATMTCCCGAAATAATGGAGATATTGAAATTCTGGTTTTGTAATAAGAATCACAGGGATAAGAACTATATGCAATTATTTCATATCTTAATTTATTTTAATGTTTTGGTATAAAAGTTAAAAATTATATTTAATTATTTAATTATTTCCAAAAAATTMACTATAGCCATTTTGTAGAGTTTATTTTTCTGAAAACATTGACGATTCTAAGTTTCCTGATTTTTTATTTTTTAGTTTCAAAAGAAATCGTGAATTATTTAACACCGTAGTATTATCAAATATTTACATATTATTAAACGCATGCGTGTTGAACGATTTCAGAGTGCCTAGTTATAATCATATTTTATTTCTTCAAAACTAGAAAAAATACTGAAAATCAGGAAATTCATATAAATAAAATGTTATAACGTCAATATTATCAGAAAAATAAACTCTACACAATGTCTATAGTCAATTTTTTTGAAAATAATTAAATAAAAAATATATTTTTAAACATTTTTTACCAAAACATTAAAATAAATTAAAAATTATAAAATTGTAGTTCTTATTCCTGTGAGTCTTTAACAAAACCGGAATTTTGATATCTCCATTATTTCGTGAAATATTGCAATGGGGTAACCCTGTAAAGCTGAGGGTAGGGGAATGGGAAAAGTCTCGAGTAAGAAAAATTCAAGAAAAAGTATCAGTCAGAAAAAACTATGTAAAACTTGGAACATTTTTTTAATAAAACCTGTCTAAAGATTTTTTTAAAGCTATATAACCCAAAATATTTAGTTACAACGATAATTAGTTAAATAATGGTTTTTTTTAAATATATGATTTTTTTTTTGTAAAAATTTTCCTGTCAAGTCATCTAAGTTAGTGATATATGTATAGTATAATATAAATTATTATTTAATATTATTTACTACGATTTAATGATTTTTTTTAAAATTATTATTTGTTTGATTTATTTTGTATTTATTAGCTATTATATTATGTTGTTACATAATTAATAGCGATTGTCTTTATACAATAGACTTTTTTTACCTCAAAATTTTTTTTCGTGCCATCAACGGCATCAACTAGTTGATATATCTGCAGCCTCAGCAACTTTACCGATTCTAATATTAATACACACAGCCATGAAAGAAATAGTAATGAATTGATAATTGTATTAGAATGTGACGTCATCATTAAGAATTTTATTCAATAATTTTGGCTGGAATTTTGAATATACTCATATGAACAATATGGTATCAAATCTACATGACTGCATCAGCTGATGTACAACTTGTTTATATTTAAATAAATTACACTTAATAATGTAAAACATATAATATATCAAACTAATAAAATAAGCAAGAAATAAAGAGAGCAGGAGATTTTTTACTGTTTGAGCATATTGATTTAGTTTTATTCATTTTGAATAGCACGCTTCTTGTTAACATTTCAAAATTTTTTCTAATTTGAGGCGACTCCAAATCTTATTTTTTAAAATCACCRCAGAACCGCATCAGTTTTCTTTTTCTAAAAAAAATATAAATTTACCTATATAGTATTATACTATAATTCATATGCCTATGTCTTAACTAGTGTAAATCCAAGAAACAATGCGTTGAGATTATTAGAAAAAGTGTTTTATAACAGCAAATACCTTGGRTATGACATAAGTCAATATAGGCAACATATCTCAGTTTTTCTTAAATAGGCAGATATATATCTGTTTAAATTAAATTGTTTATATAATTATAAAAGTTACCTTAAAGGTGTACTATTTTTAGTAGGCATTATAGATTCAAAATCTTTTTTTGTCGATAAACCTTTTTTAATGTGCATATCTGGTAATTGTTCAGGTTCTGTTAAAAATATCAAAATGTTTAATTAAATTAGTTAATATTAATACAATTTAAATAAATTTTTACCCAACAAGACTSTAGGCTGATCCAAAAGTTTATTTYCCACTGATGTGATTGGAAATGTCTGCTTAGAGTAATTATGTTCAAGTTCTATTAATTATTGTAAATATATGTCAATGTTAAGAATTATAAGTAATTAAAATAAAATAATTATATATTTACCAATTGTGGCAACAGAAACGGYAGTAGCCTGATACAATATCTCGGTCTTCTTTGATGTCGCAATCCTTGGAATGTATTCAGTTTCTATTAAATCAAGCACAGTAGTATTTACTTTAAATGAATTGATTTAAAAAAAATATAGCTACCTATCTAAATATGGATATTTACCTAAGAACTGATTTAATAGCACATCATTTTCTAACAACTGAATTTTGTCTGTAGAAGTTGGTGGTACATTATCATTTCCCACGCTCTCTTCAAATTCTGTAAGGGAAATAATAAACAAAATACAGTAAATTTTCCTATTCAGAAAAGGAATTACATTTAAATTTAAATTTAAAAAAAGTATAGCTACCTGCCAAAATATGGATATTTACCTAAGATCTGATTTAACAGCTCATCGTCTTCTAAAAAATTAATTTTTTGTGTAGAATTTTGTGCTATATAATTATTTACAATCTCTTCAAATTCTGAAAGAAAAATAATAACAAAAATACAATAAATCTTCCACCTATTTAGAAAAATAATTGCCTATAAATTTGAATTTTTAAAAAGTA